GGGTCAGCTTGTGGCGGCCCTTGTTGCTCTGCCTCGTCCAAAGACACAGTCACCCACCTTCGTGGTCTCGGCTTGAATCGCTTGGGCTTGATAGCGTCGTAGGGCTTGCTGGTACTTGGCCAAATATAGCAGCGCAACATCTCGGGCTTCCTCTAGTTGGTCGAGGGCATCCTCGCGGGTAGTGTAGTTGCTTTGCTCGTTGTAGGCCTGTAGCCTTGGAGAACCATACTCCAAGTCAGTGGGGAGGATAGCCTCGGCTCCATAGACCAGGAAGAACGGCATGAACCCCGTGGCTCGGCTCGGGGTGTTCCTCAAACTCCAGATGACCGACGAGAGTTCGGCTAGCCATTTCTTGCCAAATTTCTTCAACCGGTTGTATATCCTTGGCTTGAGGCCCTGTAGGATCATGCCGTTGGCACGTTCTACTTGGTCGTTTGTCCTAGGGTGTCCTATGGCTGACCATACCACACGGATGTGGTGGTCGTCGCAGAATGTCAGGAATTTGTGGCTGGTGAATTGTGTCCCATTATTGGTGATGATGGTGTTTGGAACCCCGAACCTATGGATGATATCAGTGAAGAACAATACCGCTTGCTCGGATTTGATTTGAGTGATCAGACGAGCCTCGATCCACAAGAACTTGTCAATAGCTACCAACAAGTGGGTGTAGCCCCTGGGGGCTTTTTGTAGAGGCCCAACCATGTCCAGCCCCCACACGGCGAATGGCCACGTGATGGGGATGATTTCGAGGGCTTGGGCCGGGAGGTGCGTCTGTCGTGCATAGTACTAGCATCCTTCGCAGGAGCATACCAGCTTTGTGGCGTCAGCGACCGCCGTTGGCCATGAGAATCCTTGGCGGAAGGTGTTTCCAACGAGCATCCGAGGCGCAGCATGGTGCCCGCAGGCTCCCGCGTGCAAGTCCCAAAGCAGGGCTCGGCCTTCCTCGGTGGTGATGCATCATTGGAGGACGCTAGATGGGCTTCGTCTGTACAACTCGCTGTTGCTGAGGATATAAGTTTTGGCTCGTCGCGCGAGCCGTTGGGCCTCGGTCCTATCCGTAGGAAGCACTCCTCGAACGAGGCGATCAAGAAGCAAAACTCGCCAGTCCGTACCCTGATCGGTCTCGGGAGGTCCTGCGTCGATTTCCATGGCCTCGGGCTCAACCGCCAGGGTCCTGAGGCGAAGTTGGTGGCGATGTCGAGGAGCACGGCCGCCGAGGTCGGTATGTTCCGGCCTAACTCTCGGACCAGGTCTCGGCAGGAGGTGCCGGAGAGGAAAGCCTGGACAACTTCTGAGTCGCCGACGCTGGGCAACTCGGTGCACTGCTTGGAGAATCACCGGATGAAGTCTCGGAGAGACTTGTTCGGCTTCTGGCGACAACTCTTGAGGTCCTAGGAGTTCCCGGGGCGCACGTATGTGCCCTAGAAATTCTCGACAAAGACCTTTACCAAGTCGCGCCAGTTGTGAATCTACAAGGGAGGGAGGTGTTCGAGCCAGGCTCGCGCCGAGTCTGACAGGAACAAGGGGAGGTTGCGGATGATGAGCATTCATCGTTCACGCCGCCTAACTGACAAGCCAGGTGGTAGTCGGCCAGCCAAATCTCGGAGTTGGTCTCACCGCTGTACTTTGCGAGGCTGGCCGGTTGCCGAAACCGGGCGGGGAATGGGCGCCCGCGGATGTCCTTGCTGAAGACTCGAGGGCCCGGTGGCCTAGGAGAAGGAATGTGGTCCTCGCCACTGTCGTAGTGGTCGCCTCGGTGCGGGTGGTAGCCATGGGCGGGCCCATCGTCGTCGTGGCGTCGTCGCCTGCTGACCACATCATGGTCATCTTGCGCCTCACGTCGGTCACTGAGGCGGTCGTGCAATGAGGGGGGCCTGAGGCGATCATGCACCGAGGGGGCCTTGAGGCGATCGTGCACCGAGGGCCATTTCGAGGTGTCCCCACGCCGTCGAGACACGGAGCTTTCGGCCTGCTGTACCGCGGCGGTCTCGAGAAGGTCTCAAAGCTCACCGCGGACCCATCGCCCCTCCGTGGTAGAGGGCTCGGGCATCGCTCGGACTAGCATCGCTGCTGCCGCGACGTTCTGGCTAGCGCGATTGAAGATTGGGGGTTGCTCACTCCCTTCGTCGTTATTGATGCGGCAGTGGATGTCGCGGGCCCTCCGCCAGGCTCCTCCGCCATCACCGCGACCTCGCTTCTCCTCCTCGAGAGTGTCTCGGAGCTGCTGCAGCAGGAGTCGGTCTTGGTCGACTTTTTCCTAGAGCTCACGGAGCTGCTCTAGGTCTAGGCGTCGAAGTTCCTCGGGGCGGCGTTCTCGTTCCTGTGCTGCCCGAGGCTCAACGAGCGGAGGTGTGGCGTCGCCTGCCCCTTGGCGGAGCGGGGAGCGGTTGCCTACCCCTTCACTCTCATTACTTGCTCCTAGCATCCCAAGCCTGATGTGGAAGCACTCTCGAGTGGGATCATAAGTTCCTTCGTCATCGGAGTCAGAGTAGCCGAAGCAGTAGTCGCTTGCGGCCAAGAAGAGGCGCATAGCTTGGGGGTCGTGAAGTCTAGAGAAATCTACTTTGGCCCACGCCTCGTCCTCCTCTGAGGAGTCAGTGTGGGTGTGAGCCGAGGTTGTGGTGGAGAGGTCAAGGACGAAACGTTGGTGGCGTCCTGAGGGCTCCATGTGAGCGGAAGCGTAGGCGGAAGCAAAGGTGGCGGCGGCATTTCTCAACCCGAAGGGGTACGAGGATGGTGCCATCGCCGAGCCCTGCTCCATGCCGAGTTGGCTCCTCAGGTGGTGGCGGTGCAGAACTTGATGATGGGGCGTCGCTGCACGTCACCGGTGTCTTTCTCCTGCCCAGGCTTAAGCTAGATAGGTCCCCAACCAGGGATTCTATACCAACAGCCGGGAATGGGATACCGGTGGAGCGCGCGCGCGCCGCCTCGAGCTCGTCTTGATGTCGGGGTGGTCCCTTCGCGCCGCGCTGGGGCGAAAAGCGATGAGAGCGGCGGCGGCCCGGCGCCGCGCTTCTGCTGGCTGCTGCGGGCGGCGGATGCCATCGTCGGCAAAGGGGCTCTGGGTGGGAGGAGTACTAGGTAGTATTCACGTCCTAGAGACATGAACTCTAGGCTCCCAAACCAGATCACCGTGCCGAGACATAGTGGGCGTATGGGATCCGCCATCCGGAACTTGTTGGGACGATTAAGCTAACACGCAGCACCCCCTACCTGGCGCGCCAACTGTCGGTGTTTTGGACCGGGGGGGTCCTCAACCAACTAGTGAATTTGAACTGCGTGCCCCTAATTCCGGATGGTGATGCAAAGAGACACAAGGTTTATACTAGTTCAGGCAATCGGTGTCCTACGTCCAGTCTGAGAGATCGATCTTGTATTCCTTGCACCGAAGTGCTTGTAGTAGGGGTTTACAAGCTAGGCGAGAGAGGAGCTAGTCCCGTGTCTCTCGTGGAGCGGTGCGGGGCTGCTTGAGACGCGTTGCTCTCGGGCAATGAGGAAGCGTGTGTCGAATCTCGTGAGCCTCGCGAGTGCTCGCCTATCTTTTTTGCCCTCTAGAAACGCCCCCGGTCTCTCCTTTTATAGTTGAAGGGGGCAGGGGTGATACATGCGTTTGCTATGCAGCGTCTTGGAGGTGGTGTTTCTGAGTCCTGTAGCTTGCTACTGTGGCGGCATGGTCAACGGAGTGGTCTTGTCCTTGATGCACTGGAGCAATGCGTCGGTCACACCCGATCTTGTGCGACGTGGGAGCTCCAGAGATAGCTTGGCGCGGGCATGGCCGATGACGTGCGGTCCATTGTCGTTCACAATGTAAAAGCCGAGGCTCGATTGGTGCCGAGGAGAGCCATCGCGAGGAGCTCGGCGGCGCAAATCCCGAGGCCGCCGAGACCTCAAGTGGATTGCCGAGGCTTGGAGGGAGCGATTGGTCCTATACACCGATTCCGAGGCTATAGTGACCGGACTTAACTCCCCACGCCGCTGTTCCTAGAGCGAAATTAGGTGGCACAATGGCAAGATCTGGCGCCAGATCATGGGCGCGATCTTGAAACACAATGGCCGGTAACCCTCGCTCGATCTGTCTCTCCCGTCCCGTCGGGCGCTTCTGTTACAATCACGCGCGTCGACGTGCGGGCGGCGACGTGCTATGGAGTGGTTGGACGCGTGATGTTTTGTCAGAGAAGTCGGTCGAGACGGAGACGACGAGGTTGTTGCCGAGCCGGCCTCGAGCGAGTCGGAGAATCGGTAACCCGTCTGAGGCCGTGCGGGGCGGGGCCTCGGGCGAGAGGGCCTCGGCAAGGCGGAGAGTTGGCCTTTCGTCCGAGGCTTTTGCGGCGCAGACCTCGGGCAAATTGGTGAATCAGCCGAGACCTCGTGGTTATCTCTTGTCTTTGATATTTACAAGGTTTAAGCAATCTTTTTATTCTTACTTAGGATACCCTTTTTATAGTATGCGATAGTATGCATAGCCGGAGAAGCCCAGGCTCGAAACATAGCATTTGCCGAACAAAACATCAGGCCATGGTGCATATAAATCGTGTCAAAACAACCAATGGACCGGAGTGGCTTATATTTATGCATTTACGTGCTAATAACACTCCCAAAACTGACAAATTAAGCACGGGAGTTACTACTAATTAACCACTCCATCATCACTCACACAGTCACACTCACACATGTAACATTAACGGACAAATTAGGCTCTGTTTGGTAGATCTCCGGCCTTTAACTCCTTGGTGCACCCTGTTTTTCTTTTTATCTCTCCACTATTTTTTCTTCCATCTCGGTTTCGACTTCGACTTGGACTCTTTGTCAAACTGGACGATAATAATACACCAGCTAGTAGCAAGGTCAACAACCTGCAGATTATGACCATGCATGTGGTGTGGACACACAAAGACATAGTAGGGGATTACTGTTTACTCGATCGATCAGATAGATGCAAGTGAATGGGCGGCCGGCCGGGCAATCCATCTTGTGGTGTGCCGTGTGCGGTGTGCCAGTGCCTAGGACGGCAGCTGCTCCATGGCCACCTCCTCCATCTTCTGGTGCGCCCGGGCCTCCATCTCGCAGCAGAGGCAGGGCCGGCTGAGCACGGCGCCGTGTGCGTGCGCGTGCCCCACCCCAGCGACGGCGTGCGCGTCGACGGCGGGGACAGGCTTGCGCGCGATGATGACGGAGTTGATCACCTCCCCCTCCGGGTGGTGCACGGCGAGCACGTCGAAGCCGCCGCGGCGGATCTCCTCGGGGTCCACGACGGGATACAGGAACCCGCGCGCGCCGTGCGCGCTCCGCACCACCAGCGCGGCGCCAGGGGCCATGTGCCTCCCGAGGTGCTCCACCACGCGGGCCTTCTCCTCGGCAGCCATGCCGACGAGCGCCGCCAGGAAGACGACGTCGTATCCGGCGAGGTCCCGTGTGACGTTGGCGACGTCGGAGGTGCGGAACGCCATGCGGGCGGCGAGCGCGGCGTCGGCGCGCACGAGGCGGCGCGCCCGGTCGTTGGCGTCCCCGCAGATGTCGTAGTTGTCGAAGGCCGCCGCGGGGAGGTGGCGGGCCGCGAGCACGAGGGAGCTGAGCGGGAGCGGGCCGGAGCCGACGAAGGCGACGCGGGCCGGCGGCGTGCCCGGGACGTGGCGCGCCAGCAGGCCGTGCTCCAGCTGGCTCAGCAGGAGGTAGTTGCTGAAGTAGGGGAAGAGCGTCAGGTGGTCCAGCGGGTTGTCGAAGCCCGCCAGCAGGTCAGAGTAGTGCGCCTCCAGCAGGGCCTCGGCGTCGGCGCAGAGGCGGATGAGCGACGCGCGCATGGTCTGCAGCTCCGGGGCCAGGCGTTCCACGTCCACGGTGCTGCGCGGGATGCAGGCCGTGACGAGGTCGGTGAAGAGCGCGTTCACCTCCGGCGACGGGCTCAGCGACGGCAGCTTCGCGATGGCGGCGGCCAGGCCGGAGATCTTGTGCACCAGCGCCGCCTCGGCCTCCTCATCCGCCGTCGTCTCCTTCTGGACGACGACTCGTACTTCTTCTTGGACCTCCTCCTCCAGCTGCTGCTGCTGCTTCTCCTCCTCCTTGCCCATGACGACCATGGCCGCGTGCAGCGTGATCACAGTCACAGTCGGTCTCGGTCTAGGCGCTTGCTGCTTCGCTTTGGAGTGGGAGAGGCATACTACAGTGTATATATACTGGTGGCAGGAATAATGGCGTCCCTGTCCCGTAGCTTACCATGTGATCGTGGAAGACCCGTGCCCGCCACAAGCCTCGGCGTATTTTTCTCCACACACGCAACGGCAACGGTCACGTCGTTATCGCAGTCGAGACAACACGCGAAGATCCATTTCGTTTCTATCATGATATATATTGCTGGAATGGAACAGTAGCTATAAGATCGATACCCCATATCAATAATTCAAGTTCCATGTCGTTGCCTTATCTTTTCTTTACTTATTATTCCCCAAGAATATATCTTTCTTTACTTTACGCTATCCCGCCTATCCCCCAAGAATATATACGTCCTGCGCTCAATTTCATCCATGCTACCAGGAGTGCGTGTCTTCATCGCCGTTCTTTCTGTCAACGCGCCCTATTGATCGCCGAAAGTTTGATCATGGGGTGCGCACATCCATGGGAATACTTGTCCGTTTCTAAATAAATCAATTTCTAGAATTATCTTAAATTAAATGTTTTTATTTTATCAAACTTATAGAAAAAATACAATATTTATATATAACACTAAATAATATGTTCATTTGGTGTTAATAAATATTTGTGCTGTTTTCTATGTAAAGTTAGTCAAATATAAAGAAATGACTTAAAACAAGTCTACAAATTGATTTATCGAGGAACGCAAGAGGACGCGTGCCCTGCTTCTGCATCTTTTTATTGAAAAGTTCCGTTCGTGATGCTGCCGCTTGTTGGGTGAGGGATGAATTGGATCTATCGAACCAACGGCTGCGACAAGTCTGTGACTACCACCAGAATGCATGGTTGCTTGGTTGCCGGCCCATTTCTGCTGTCCAGACTTTTTCTTTGGTTGTACAGGAGGTCAAGAGGCTGGAATGGTACCCACGTATACCTTTTGCTCCTTACCTTTTCATATTTGCTTCTTCTCTTTTTGCCTTCCAATGACTCCCAAGGACCAGCCAACATGTCAATATCCACACGCATTTTCGATGGCTCATTGCCTTTACGGTGGGTACATAATCTCCAATAAAAAATCTTCATGTGCAGTCATATCAAACTATTAATAACATAATTTCTTGATTACATCATGCTAAAAGATAGTTCTGAGAAGTCTTAAATACTAGAATACATTTCAGATGAAACGTACCATCCTCCTAGCATTCCTTGTTACAAAATCTTCAAAGGAATCCTTCTCTAGTCTAGGATATCATTTTCTAGTGCTATTGTAGCCAATCCACTCAACCTTTGTTTCTTGTGTCGTCATCGATGGCTTTGGCTGCCCCAGACCTGCTCAGCAACGAATCGGCACTGGCGTTCCTGCTCCAATCTGTAACTGGAGTTGCGCACTTGCGTACGTCCTAGAGCCTGAAGTTGGAATCCTGCAAAACTCAATGGCAGCTTGAGAAGTGAGAGATGAGGGAGGCATTGAGCTTGCATTGCTTTGCAATTGAGCCAAGGCATAGCTCGAGCGAGCCCACTATTTTGGTGGAGGACCAAGCAATGGCACATGATGCTGGTCTGGAGGATGTTTGCAAACACATGGTTGATATGTGCCAATGTGTGTCAATTGATGATGAGTGATTATCATGAGATGATCAAACTTTGGTCGAATTTGGAGGCTAACCTTAGCGTGAGTGTGGTGTTTGTGCAACATATCTCTTGGTTTGTGGTGCGTAGGTGTGGAGCACAAAGACGGTCGATGACTATGGAGAAGGTCAAGCAGGGTCGTGCCGTGCCGATGGACTGGGAGCGGTGAAGGATGGACAAGAGACTTGGATCGAGGGACCGAGTCATGGGAGATTGACCGTGAGTGTCTGACACTTAGGGACATCGACAAGCAAGTGTACATGTAGAGGAGTAGACCGTGTTGATCAAGTCAAGATGGCGGTTGACCAAGTCAAGTGGAGGGGCGGAGGGTTTGGTGATTAGGCGGTCGAGGACAGATGGTGACACTCGTCGAGATCGTGGAGGAGGTGTAGCGAATACGCTTCTCTAGCTGGGTTTGGTGGGTTGGGCATCAAAATCACCATAGATAGTTTTATCGGGTCTGGGCCTCAAAACTCGGGACAGAGTTTGGGATGGAGTTCGAGGCGACACATGACATCATCGGGGAGGTCACATCGAGGCGAAGCTATCTCATGAAGGGCTCATGGGCGTCGGATGCAAAGATCTCTACTTGGACCATTTTGCCACTGGGGGTTAAGTGGTTCAGGCAAAATATCTAAGTGTAAGTTTGTGATTGTGTAATAGCTCTATAAATAAAGGGGATGCTACCCAAACCAGCCCATCTCTTACAAATGCTTTTGCTTAGGTTCCGATGTAGTTTCTAGTTCTAGTTTCCTACATCTGAGAGATCCGTAGAAGAAGTGAGTGTTCCACTGTCTGTGTAATCCTGTCCTCTTGGAAAAGGGCCCTGACCTTGTAAACTTTTTCAAGAAATAAAGCAATCTTTCCTTTGAATGAATTTCATGGTCAAGTTCTTGAGTCCTTGTTTTCAAATCGGTTTTTCCCTACCCAAACCCCTTCTCTTTGCATTTTGATGGTTCTTGCAATTCTGAGGGTTTGAGACCAATTAGGTTTGATAGAAACGGGCTAGGACCCTTGAGGAACACATCATTTTGATCAAAATTGATAAAACTCTTATTGAAAGGGGAGACAAACTACTGATTTTCCCACAGTAATTATAGAGTTAGCACTACTAAAAGTTAGGAATAAACAATTTACTTTCTGTATCAGCAACAATTAGTAAGATGATCTATGTTGACTAACATGATACAACACTAGGATTGGTTTACTTGCATGCAAGTATCTAATTTTCAGTATTAGTGCAAGTTTCCAACCAAGAAAAATAACAAAAGAACATGCAACATGAGTAGATGAAGAAAAAAGATGTTGGCAACGCCATGTCTTTATAATAAGTGAAGCTGGTAGTGTTTGATATCCTAATGTCGTGAATTACAATAAGATACATGTAGAAATTTTGCCCAGACAGGTGAGCATAGTCCACTTTAGCCTACTCGGCTACATTACATTAGACAATCTATGACATAATTGACAACTTAAGGAGTGTAAAGCAGTTGAATTATATAATACATACACGCAATGATATACTATTTTAATAAGTCTAGTTCTATTTTTCAAATTTCATTTTGTTGTTTGAGTTATGCATGCATGATTGTGAAACTCATCGCATTAGTTAGTTGTATTTAAAAAAAAGGTAAAGTGCATTTTTCAACCTTCAACTTATACATGAGTTTGATTTTCAATCATAAACCACAAAATCGTGTATTTTGAACTATTGAAATCTGGTCCTTTAACATTTTCCAAAGGTGGTTTTCTATTTTATAAAATAATAAAAATCAAATTTAGCCTCTAAAAAATCATAACTAATCTATCTATTAAACCAAAAAAATATGAAATTAGTACTAAATTTTCTAAACCGATTTCATAGTTTAGGGTTGAATCAGACTCCGGTGTAAGTTGAAGGTTGAAAAATACACTTTACCTTTTAAAAATTAGTTTTTAAAAGATATTATTAGAAAAAGAAAAAGCGCATCAAGAAATAAACTCATTGAACTTACATTTTTATAAAACCAAAGGCCTAACCATAATTTATAAATCTCCACCACTGGTGTGTCCTTTACGTACCAAGTCTTGTAGCTTGGTTTTTTATGAGGGCAAATAAAGTCTTAGGACTGTGTTTGGTTAAGTTTTTGAAAAGTGCTTATGTTGCCAAAAAGCAAATCAGCAAAATTGGTAAAGTTTGAAGTTGTTTTTTAGAAGCAGTTGCTTTCATGTAGTACAGTTTTAAAATCATCTTGCATCCTGTTTTTGGCTTTTGAGTGAAAATAGAGAGTTATTTCACTGATGTTGAGAGAGAGAGAGAGAGAGAGAGAGAGGGTTTTATACTTGTTTTAGCAAAGCAATTTACAGCTTGTTTACACCATATAGCTCACAATAATTTTTTCACGGCTCATAGCTCAAAGCCGCTTTTCCATACCTCACATTTAAATAAAAAAGACTCAGATCTTGTTGTTGCTAGCTTGGTCTAGCTTCATCAGTTATTATTCTTGCTTCATCAGTTATTAACATGCGATCGATTAATCGAGAAGATGACGACGAGCAGGGCGCTAGCTAGTATATAGCTTGAGATTTTGTCTCACTAGCTACTTTGCATTGATCTACAGGTGTGGCGTCGATGAGCACGCACGTACGCACAAACTAGTCAGCGGAATCGTATATATATCGAACAAATTAAAGCTGGATCGATCGCGCTATAGGACGCAGGATGCAGCTGCAACTGCAAGCGTACGTACTAAGCTAAGCTGGGATCGCATATCCTTGTGCCACTTACTGGCATCATATCGGTAGTTTTAACTTTTAAGTGAATCAGGCTGCTATAAGGAACATATTATATTCATTCATGTGTAGTGGCCCTCAGTTTGGCGTCAAATTGCATCTAAGATCAACTACAGACTTTCTCGGATTTCTATCGTAAAGCATGTTCGTTTGCTCGTATACGATCGTATATTATAAGCTAGAATAGCATTTTTCTCTCGTACCAAACCGATCAACAGTAAATAATCCACGATCGTTTACGCCTGCTGAACATGCTCATTGTATCTGGATTCTTTTAAGCACGGTATAGACACAGACATCGTCTTTATGGAAGCGTGTAGGTAATTACAACCTGTGACATGTGCCCAAGTGCTTCCATAGGAATGGGTGTACGCAAGTGCATTTAACAACGTACTCCGTATATATGTCTGTGTCAGCACGTGAGTACCTTTGAAAGATGGTATACTATCTCCGTCCAAAAAAAATATATAATTCTCGCTTTTTAAGAAGTCAAACAGTTTAAATTTTGACTAAATTTGTATAAAATGCTAATATTCATGATACAAAA